TCTTTCATACAGGTGCTTTTGGAGTATTATTTTTATAAAATTCAAACAATTATTTTGAAAACTACAGGCAGCAGATGTATTAAGTAGCTTTACATTTCTGCACGTTAATAATATACTGTATATAAAATAAAAAAAGTTTGTATATTTCCTTAAGAGCAAATGGCACATTTACGAAATCATTAATGAACAGTTATCAAAGTGCAAAGTACAAATATACTTGCTATAATGTTATTTTATGTTTCTTTCAATACATAAAGTAACAGCCTGATGAAATCATAGATAATTATACATTTTGCACTGATACTGAACGTGGGGAAATATTGTGAACTCAGCATAAATTCCTTCATTCCTGTCTTAATCATTATTTGTTTATTCTTTCAGATTTTGCTTTTTTTTAAATAACAAGACTGGCACAAAGTCTTGGTAACGATAGACAGAGTAAACTGCACGACATCGCAAAAACATTAACTATGTTCTAGCTATAAATCGCCAGCAAAAAAAAACCTTCATAAAATGGCAACTTTCTTTCTTATTCCAGACCAGTTTATCTTGTTTTCGTGTAGTACTCATGTGAGACAATATATGTTGCAACTCTTTCATAATTCGAAAGTAAGATGATGGAATCAACATACTTGAACCGTTTATTTTTATTTAAAAATATAACATTTGATATATCTTTATGCCCGTGAAAGAAATGTGAAAAAGATTCATGTATTAATTTTTCAATTTTTTTGAAATGTACAATGTACACAAAACTCTTCAAACTCTGAAATATTAGATATACTTCATACACAAATAAAAATTAACTCAAATATGTACTTATTTAAACTTTGAATATTTGGTGGTAGTTATCTCATCAAGTCAGAAATTAAAGTATTGAATACTTAATAACAGCATCCATCGATCGTGTGTAGTACGCATCATACACAAAAAGTGTGTTTTTTTTCTTAATTCCCGACAACCTAGTTTTTGACCTCCCGGTTCACCTCTAGTCATGGTTGACCGGTGAAAAACATGACAAATTATTTTTAAACAATTTTTCTCTCTATGTTCTGTTTATCATAATTACACAATCTTATTTCCAATGTACGGAAATATTAATCTTTTTGAATAGCACAAGTTTATGCTTCATATAAAACTGTCCTGAGGCGGGGGACGTGGTAGTGCAAACTACCTCAGGTTTTGCTGCAAGCTTTTACTTGTAATTTATTTTGCTTCTGCAGACTGATGGTGTGGTTACAATAATAATAATAATAATAATAATAATAATAATAATTATAATAATGATAATATATCTGTTTATAGAAAGTAACTCGTAAATATGTACCATCACAGAAAACTTCGTAGAACACAAATAACATAAAATTATCTAATTTTTACATGTTGCCTTCTTAACAATTTAAAGAAACACAAACACAAAACATCATAAAATAATAACAACTGTTCCATTTAGATTTTTCCACTATAACTTTTTTGAGAAACACCCCTTTAAGATATTAATATCATTTATCCAATTTTCATTTACACACACATTTTAACAATAGACATGTAACCGCCTCCGCGGTCGAGGGGTTTAGAGTCGATGATCCAGTTACCTCTCTGGCGTTGGTTCGATCCCCGGGAGATGCTTTGGTAGTTTAGCATGGAGGAAGGTAGTGTAGTACTTGTGTAACTTTCCAGGAACGATGGTTAGGAAACTAACTACCCGCCTATATGACTGAAATACTGTTGGAAAAAGGCGTTAAATGAAACAAACAAACAAACAAAAAATAGACATGCATAATAAGTATAATTCCATAATGACAGATATTTGATTTGCAAGATATGTTCTTTATACTTATTTTTAAAAGATGTCAGAGAATTAGAATAACGTATATTAGATGGTATTTTATTTCAAATGTTTGCACCATTGTAACAAAAAGTCCTTAATAATTTATACATAAATATACCATGCTTAAATATTGATTTCAAAGCGGATTCTATCACGTAAGTCAATCCTTTTTCCAGTCTACGAAATCTGCGTCAGCAAAAATACCATAAAACGCATTTTTTTTTCCAACGAACCCAGAGACAGCTATCGCATAAACTCCTGACAAGTCCATCCCTTGTGTAACAGTCCTCAACACGTATAATTGAACGAACAACGTGTCCAAACTTTAAACACACCTCTTTATTTATAATATTACATTATTTATAAAACAATTTGATAAACGGATAAAATGACACTGCCTATCCTGCTTTACTAAATTTAAGACAAAGTATTAACTATTAAAATGTATATGTAGATTTATTATAGTTACGGTACCAATACAATGGAAAAAACTGCAGATATCAGTTACTCAAAAATACTTTATACAGACAGCTACACTCAACAGCATAACAGAAGTGAATATATAAAAAAAATGTTGCTCAAGTACGAGTATCTCGAGGCATATGTATGCATTCATATATCTGAAATGAATCTATTTCAGTGTAAATATCACATTCATAAATAAGTTATACCAATTATGCCAAATGTTTAAAGTGTTTAAAAAGAAAAATACGTTAAACAAAATACTTTTTAGTTCAGAATAATAAACAATAAAATACTTCACGCCTATTGTGTACAACTATTTTGTTTACTTTTGTTATTGAACCTAGTCAATTAGTAATTTAATCAAGTATGAAGAAAAGATCCGAAAAGGTGCGATTATATTTATAGGATATTTTGATTTCCCTATAAGACAAAATGAAAAGTACAAAGGTAAGAAAAAAAACTTATTTTATGTATTTGATTTATTGTATACATTTATTTCATATACATAAATTGATCTTGAATCCTTTTACGGTGACCGTCGGAATTATAGGAAATTAAAAACAAACAAAGTTTAATCGAACTTTCAAGACGTATTGTCATAATTTGTCTCGTAACTAACAAAACAAAAAACAAAAAAGTCTCCAACAGAAGCCATTTGAGAGAGAATCTTTGTTTTTACATCGTAAAATGTTTTAAATTGAAACCGTAAATGTTACATAAATAATGCATGTATTATTTCAGTGAATTATCACAAAAGCAAAACATTTATGCTTGTAATAAGGGTATCATATTATACAAGCAGACGGTTAAATATACAATCATATTAATATATTGAGAAAACCATAGTGAAATGTTCTATAAACAGGTGATACATATATCTTATGAAAAGTCTGTCATAATAATTCAACGTATTCAAATGATAACTAATCTTGAATGTAACTTGTAAATTTTGGGCATTCGATTATTATTTGTCAAATATATTTACGGACAACATTGAATTTCTTATACAGTACTTTCTTGTGGTTAATCTATTTAGAATAAATTAGTATTTCTTTAGAGCTAGAAGATAAATAAAATCTTTCTTCTTTTTTTTATCTAAACATACCTTTTATGTTGTTCACGTGTTTTCAGATTTATTATCTTCATGTTATTTGTGTCTTATAGGCCCATTGGGCCGGGTGTATACTATTGTTAAGACATGTCTTGTTTGTTCATTGCTTGTATGTTTACATATGACACATTAATAAAATATTTATTTACTTACTTACTTACTTATACAATTAGATTTAACTACGTAGTACTTTGTTATTGACATTATGCTGTTTTGTCAAGTCTGGTTTTATTTTTGAATAAAGCGAAAGTTTAAAATAAAATTTGCATGGTTCGGAAAACGAAAAAGGATTTTAATGAAAAGAATTCAAATGAAACAAATTTAACAAGCTTTTCCAGAATGAAATGTTGAACATAAAAACTATTATTCATAAAATAAATAAATAAATAAATAAATAAATGAATGAATAAATAAATAAATAAATAAATAAATAAATAAATTACTAAATAAATAAATAAATGAATAAATACAATGTCAGATTAAAAACATCATCTGGTTTTGACTTTAACAATATTAGGGCGTCCGTGGCCAAGTGATTAATATCGTTGACTTCAAACCACTTGCCCTTTACCGCTCTTGGTTCGAATCCCGATAGGGATTCTTGATTATTTCATTTGAGGAAGCTATCACGCTAGCTAACGAACTGTCAGTGGTTCTACTCAGGTGCCTGTCTGTGCCTGAAATAATGCACGGAAGGGCACCTGAGCTCGTCCTCCACAAGTAAACCAGGAACGTCGCAAAATGACTTTAACTGTGTCGGTGTGACGTAAAACCCAATCAAACAAACAAACGAATCAACATTATTAAATGCTGTATGCACTATTAATTTATAGAATTTAACTTATTTTATTTCTTTGATATAAAGTAAGTGACGATGATAGATATAACTTAAAGAAATTAGTCACTTGCATTTAATAATATTATAAATGAATTACTTGTATGTGTTAAATGTTATGCTTAGGCTTGCTATATCATTAAAAAGCAAAGAATAATTCATACTAGGACACATATGTTATGTAGACCAATTCCAACTTGTAGTTTACATTGCATAATGTATATGGATGTTACCCGAGGAGTGACTGTTTTCCTTTTTATGTAATGTTGCAACTGATTTGTTTTGTTATTGTAACTGTTATACATTTATTGTAAACTACACTTATAAAGATCTATCGCTTATAACAATATGTCGCTTACATCGATGTTGTTGCCGTGGTCCCGTCTCTTGTTTTTAAATTGTTCGTCTCACGGATATAGCAATATCCGGATATAACGATTAAAATACGACGGTCTCGTGAATAATGTTATCAACAGTTCTCCTATATTGAGAACAGGAAAAATCCTTATCATAATAAGACTAAAACCTTACATTGTATAATTCTGGCATCTAGGAAGAACTAGAAATACTCTATTATGTTATAGAATTATGATAGATAAATGCCAACTGTTTGGTGGTACTGTTTAAAACTTTGCGTTTGTTTGACTTCATTGACCTGAAACCCTTTTCATTCACAAAATGGGTTGCAAGTATTTTTAAAAAATAATTGTGATATCATCTGTCTCATATCTTTGATTAACTTAAATATAATGATTTTATAAACCTGTATTTCCTCTTTCAGGTTGAAAATCATTGTAAATCTTAAATCACAATGTCGGTAAGTTAAACTTATTTCTTAAATTATACTTGTTCTAACTTTTGGGTTTGTGCAAGATTAATAATATATGTCATATGTTGCGGTTCGGACCGGAATATCCGTCCCGAGGGGACCCGCCCATTGGGCGGTAACGAGGCTTGCCGAGTTACCGCTCATGGGCGGGTTCCCGAGGGACGGATATTCCGATCCGAACCGCAAACATATGAAAGATATTTTTTCTTTAAATATTCTGCCATATTATTTCATATTTAAAATGGTTTACCTCAATATGATATATGTTCATGGAAATTAAAGTCATTTCATCCATAACTATTTTCTTACAATAGCGTATGAACTTACAACTTAAATAACAACGGCGAAATGACGTCATCCTAAGACATATTTCCCTTCTAAAACGACGTCATTTTAACGCAGTTCATTCATAAAGTGCGCTAAAATGACGTTGTTGTTTGGCACGCGACACATCTGGCACCCCCATGCCAGATGAAATTTCCGGCATGGGTAAAACTCACAGAAACGCCAGTCTGCTATGCAAGAAAATGCTTACATTGTCTTGAAACCATTACAAATGTATATAAGAAATCATGTTTCTAAAGTTGGGGTCGTTTTAAATTCTATTGTTGAGATTTAGTTCTTTTTATTTTAATTTAAATTTTTGATAATCATGTCATGTAACAAGCACGAAACTTTGTGCTTTATCCGACATTTGTATGCATTTGTACACCCATATTTCACAAAAACTAAGTAATTTAATACTGATTTCTTCTTTCAGGGTCAGGAAAGTAATAATGACGGGGCCTCAGGCTTTTCGCATCCGGTAAGGATATGTTAGTCTTGAATTAAAAAAAAGCAAAAGCTGTATTCCTTAAACTCTTGCAAATATAGAATGCTTAATAAAATTATGATTATTTTACCTTTAACAATTACATTTGTGTAAATCAACTTAAATATATATGCTCCTTACTTTCCTATGCAAATTTCAAACACAATGTTATTTACAATGTCCCTCCCAAGATTTCAATAAAAAATAACTTGACCTGTTACTTTTAAAATAAATTTATATCAATAAGATTACAAATATATTTTTTTAAACATTCTTATAGTTGATATTTAATTGTATTTGCATTGTCATTAAAATACTGCGTATAGTGGTGTTTAATATTTTATGCCCATAATATATATGTTTGATCAATAGTATACATACACATGATATAAATATTCTGTTTTTGTATAATTGGTGCTTGAACACTAAGTGAAGTTTCTGGTCAATCTCGCAAAGTAGTAAAACAGAACATGACTCATGAAGTATGAAATTGTTATTTTTCATGAAATAGACAATTTAACGTAATTACATTAAAATTTCAATATTTTGATTTCAACGAATACATCTTCTTAAATCGCTTAAACAGTAAAACCAAATCTACAAGAACCTTATACATTTTGCTTTGTTTTCAAAGTGATATGTCTTTTCTAGGATAAATGACCATGATCCATTATCTATACAATTTATGTAAAAGACATGTAAGAATATATATCAATTAAGAAAAACACACGCACACGTGCACACACACACGCACGCACGCACCAAAGCGTGTAAGCGCCCCCAACTGAAACCACACGACTTTTGGACCCCGAATGAGGACACCGCTGTAGATGACTTCTACTAGCAAATGAATACCAGACTTAGCCGTTTTGAACCTTATACTGCCTATTGTGGTATAAACCTTTTTATGATATCATTATTTAAAACTAATATTAAAAAATGTCAATTTACCACCAATTGAGGGCGTAACAAGCAAGGACCATGATTGTCAAGTAAGGACGGTTTACACACTTTCAATTGAGAACCTACCTGTCAAATGAGGACAAGTGACACACACTCTCACACTTCCTCAAATGAGGCCTGATATGTACCTGTAAAATGAGGACACATTTTTTTGGAATATAATACTAATATATTACTTGTTGGCAACAAAAAAATAACTCTGGTTAGTTATTCATCGTTCATGCAAAGTACATTATAAAACTGAAGGGAATTATGGCAAGATGTAAACTTATGTGACTTTCACCTGTCCACTCATTATATAGCCTTATAGCCTTATAGCATTATATAACTTTAAATAACTGATTTTGAACAAAAGGCATATATATTCATATTCATGCTTTATACTTAAAACTTCTTGATGTGTATTAAATAATAATAATAATAATAATAATAATAATAATAGTAAAATAATAATAATAATAATAATAATAATAATAATAATAATTATTATAGTAATAATAAAAGTAATATGATACAAACAATTAAGTGATAACTGACGACGTTGTCACCTTAACTATTGTATTTGTACACGCTAATGCTTACACTGTCATTGAAACTTTACAATATATATAAATATTTTCTAATATGCACAAAACGTTATATGCTTTTTTGGACGTATTTGTTTATTACTATCTTTCACATAAACTAGGTAATTTAATTATGATTACTGCTTTTCAGGATCAAGATCGTAATAATGACGGGGCTTCAGGGTTTTCAAATCCGGTAAGGATATTTAACTTTTGAATTTAAAAAGGACAACCTTTATTCTTAATATGTTGCGTATATAGAAATGCTTATTAGAATTAAGAGTCTTTAAGCTTATAAAAAAACATTTACATTCGATTAAAACAAAATAAAAGCTATATGCTCTTTACATGCCTATGTAACATGATTTATCGCGTATGTTGACTGCTATCTTTGATTAGATATGCATATAACCGTAATTAAAATAAAAATGTCAATATTTTGATATTATCACATACATCTTCTATAATAAACATTGCGAAGTCTTTAACATCTTTGAATACTTGTAATTAACAAACTCAGTAAAACCGAGTCTGCAGCAACTTTATATGTTTTTCAATTTCTTTTTCAAAGTGATATCCCTTTTCTAGGATATATGACCATAAACCATTATCTAAATGTTGTATTTGTACACGATTATGCTTTAAATGTCTTGAAACCTTTACAATTTTATATACCAGCTCATTTTTTCTAAAGCTAGGGTTGTTATTACATGAGATAGCTGAGATTTAGTTTATTTTATTATTATATTGTTTTGACAATAATTTCATATAGTTACATGTAATACGCACGAAACTTTCTGCTTTATTGGACATAGTTGTGTATTATTATCTTTCACAAAAACATGGTAATTTAATACTGATTTCTTCTTTCAGGATCAAGATAGTGATAGTGATAGTAAACACAACCTTTATTCTTGCGTTTACAGAAATGCTTAATAGAATTATGATTCTTTGAGCTAAAACATTTACATCTGATTTATACAAATTAAAACTGTATGGTCTTTACATGTCTATGTAACTTTCAAATACAATGGTCTTTGCAATATTCCTATCCCTGCCAAGATTGCATTTTTTTTTATTTCAACTCGACTTGTAAATTTTTAGATTAACTGATATCAATAAAATTACGAATTCTTTAAACCATTTTCATAATTGTTTCAATTTATATTTAATTAGATCTGCCTTGTCATTAAAATATTGCTTTTAGTGATTTTTAATATTTCATGCCCATAATGTTTGATTAATGGTACACATACAATAAATATTCTGTTTTAGTAATTGTGCCTTAACACTTAGTGAAGTTTTTTAGTCGTAAAAGAGAACATGATATATCACGAAAGATACCTGTTATTGTTGATTAGGTAGACAATTAACCGTAAATACATTAAAATATCAATATTTTGATTTTAAAACATGCATTTTCTAACACTCAATATCGCAAAGTCTTTAACATCTTTAAATATCTGTAATCAACAAACCTAGTTAAACCGAGTCTGTAGCAACCTTATACTGTTTTCTGTCAAAGTGATATCCCTTTTCTAGGATATGACCATGATCCATTAGCTATTCAGTATATATAAATTATCCATATTATCATTATAAAAGCAACAACATTGCACTGACATAACATCATTACTGTCTCTCCGAATCACACTTGTATATGTTACAAATAATCTCTCTGTGGACTGAATTTGTGCTGGTAATTATATGTAAGCTATTGATATTCACAGTTATATGACATAATTAAATGAAGAGTTACTCGTACGGTAGACTCTCTAATGTGGTCATATTATTTCTTAATTTTGTTTCTTCATTTCAGAAGAATGCGTCTGGCGAATTTGACGAAGATTTAATTTCGGTAAGTTTATAATACGTTTGTGTTGCAGAAGGAAGCACAAGCATAAGACAAACATTTCTAATTATCTACATCAAATATCACCTATTGTGTCATAAGATTATCTTATACGTTTTTATTTAACATAAATATTAATAAAATTATTATCTTCTCTTCTATAATCCAAACTTTTAAATATGGAACAAACTTGCCATGACATTTTACTCCCATAGACCCTTTCAATTAAGCGATAAACGTTGAGAAAGAGTTATGTCCCTTTACTGATGTGGCGTTAATGTAGGATTGTACTATACTGAACGCTTCGGATGATAGCTCATTCGAACGTTTCATTGCACAAATGCATACTTACCGATCGTTAAATTAACAATATAATTTAAAACAAATGACTAATGCATACATATATTTCTTATCAAGAGAAAATAAATAAAAAGATCTTTGTTTCAATGATGAATGTGTGTATTTAAATGCTATTACACTGTTACTTCATAATTGTACCGGTACAATTAACGTAGACTTGTATCTAAATTCAGCTTTATACTGTGATAAATTGTCAATTAATTATTTACCATCATCTTTATACGTGCAATGTATATTATACGATACTTTTTTTTCTTTAAACAACAATGTTAGCAGAAATGTATTGAAATATAGATAACTCATGATTTACCAAAGAATAGAGGGTGTTTATGGATATTCTATCATTAAAAAAACCCAAAACAGATTGTTGTCAGGCTCTACCCTTTGCAAGGTATTTTGAATTAATAATTAAGATAATTACAATTGCTTGCGAAGGCTTGCGATAATCTCATCTGTAATGAACGATTTTTCGTATTATTCACAATAAAACTGTGGCAATCTATTATGAAACCAACATGTTTAATAAGTCTCTTCCATATTTTTTAACCTGAGTTTTACAATCAAAACAGAAATCAATTAGTCACACATTTGTTAAAAACTTCGTAATCAATTGGTGTTTGTACTACGCTAGAGACATTTAGATTAAAAGTTGTTAAACTCCTCCAATGATACATGATTAAATAAAACAAAAGTAGTTTCTTGAGCTGTCTACTTATATTTTTTTTTGTAAATTTTATTTGTGTCAAACATGGAACTCATTGATAAACACTCCATAATGGAAACAACAACAACATAGGAAAATAATTCATATTTGGTTATGTTCCTCCATCCATTCAGTTTGTCATTTAGCAACCTTTGTTAAATCTACAGAAACACAGACAAATCATATTATAATGGTCTACGTAACCGTTGTCTTTCATTACTCTTTAAAACAGAAATTAGCAAGTCACAGCATTTGCTTTAGATTATGTCCAAATTGTAATATTCTTTTTTTTCGATAAGTCTTTATTCGGCAAAATTCTTTTGGTAGAAAGATTAAAGAAAATCCCACAGGACTACTTGATCGAATTAAACAAAAGTATAAATGCTTCAAAATAATGGTTTTAAGAAACCAATATGTCGCGCTTACTACATTCTAAATGTTTAAAATATCATTTGTAAGCCTAAACAATGTTACTGCTTTTGCTTTTTATGTCAAGGAAACGCGATGTAATGATATGAAAGACCTTATATAAATGGTACAAAAAAGACAAACAAGTATTCGAACTCAAGATATAACTAATGAATACATATACGTTTCACTTGAGCGATACATTAACGTACACATCGGCGGATTCCTTTTTTCCTGTAAAAGAGAAAAGCATAAAAGGTTTTATATTAGTTTGCCCATAGTTACCTCAAATGATGTAGAAAAAAGTATAAAAATCATTTTGTTTAAATTTCTTGTATTCAATCGAGCTAAATTTGAAGAAAAAAAAAAAGATTTTTGTGTATATATGTCTAGATGATTTCATCTGAAGGAAATATAGATATTTACATAATACAGTGTGATTGAAATAATATATTTTTTTAAGCAGACACATATAGGCTCAACAAAAGTATGAAAAGGAAGCGCCAAACGTTTCCGAAAATTTGTATATATGTTTTTAAACCAATGGCGAGGTTGAACTGATTTAATTGTATTCAAGTCCTTACCGAGTATTTCATAGTTTGCATAATAGGTAATTTTACAATTTGAATTTAGAGGTGTTTCATTTATTTTTTAACGTTAATAGGCGTAATAATTCATCAAAAATGCCACAAAAACACAAAACATAAAGTAAATCACTAAATGTTTTGAAACTACACAAAACTTGTTTATAAAACTGATTTTGAACAAAATGTCCGATGCGTATAAATTTGCTTCATACTTAAAATTTCTTGATGTGTATTAAAAATTAAAATAATAATAATAATAATAATAATAATAATAATAATTACAATACTAATGATGATAATAATAACAACAACAACAACAATAATAATAATAAAAATAATAATAATAATAATAATAATAATAATAATAAACAACCAATCATTTTATGTAGAAAAATAATTGTTATTTACAGGTTACATATTTTATGTGCGGCTAAATGGATAAATTTCAGCTGTTATTCGTTAAAATCAGTTTCATCTCAGTGGAATGTTTAAATTAATATGTTCTGAAAGCATTTTAATCCTTTATCATTAATTATGTATCCTATAAACCAAATCAGAAAATTTACTAACATCTTTAATAATTTTCAAATACATTTTTGTTCACTTCTATTTAATGCCATTGCAATTGCCATAGGCAGAATTCCAATGCGTAAAGTACTACTACTACTAAGAATAATAATAATAATCGTAATAATAAATCAAAGGTACGATTTCTTTATTAATTTCTCTCGGAAGTTATGTAAATCTTGGCATGAAATATAAGCTGTTTTTATTCAAGAACCCAAAGGCACTGTCCCGGTAGGTGTAATATTATTTTTTTAAATGTACATAGTAAACATGCAAGAAATTTCCTTCTCCAAAACATGGAGGCGTCATTTTATATTTGTAACAAATGAAACATTTAAATAAAGATCTAACACCGTTAGGCTTGTCTTTAATAGCAATCAGTAAATTAACCAATTATTCCCCTGTCAAGCATTTACTTTCCATTGCAACAAATGACTTACATAATTAGTATTGACTTTCTAAAGCGCACATTTAGTTTCCTTAAGGCCTCAACAGACGGTAGGATTTAGTTGTACAGCACTAATTAGAGATAAGATGTACAATTTTCAAAGCTATACAACACTTGCATTCAGACGGTAATTCTACACTGTAGAATCATCGGAGGTTTCCCCTAAGAAGGATCCCTTTACATTGATCCTTTACATACTTTACTCACTAAATACTTTTTTTCGCCATGAGTAATGATTGAAACACCTCCAATTAAAAAAAAAAATATATATATATTTTATTATTATTTTTTTAATGTGAAGTCTGACCGAGACTCAAACCTTGGACCCTCGGAATACCGCACTGCGGCTCTACTGACTAAGCTATCCGGCTGCCAAGAAACTACCTCCCCTCCCCTAATTAGAGAACAGTTCAATACTGTGACATAATCATTTTCGGAATAATTTGGGATTCGAACATAACACAACTTTGGGTCTCCTGAAGAGTTTTTCAACATCATTTTTACCCCATCTTACTACTATGTTTACCTTTTAGCCCTAATTGTTCTGGAATTTCATTCATTACACCCATTATCAGGACATAATTTGGTTATCTGTTATTTGTCATTGTGGGAGGTCTGAAAAAATCGGTGCGACAAGATTTTCAAAATAGAACATGTCCTATCCCTTACATCTAGACATAATGTTTCAGAAATCAAGAAATAGTAGCCTTCACACATTAAGATTTGTCTGTACATCTTAGTTTTAATTGGTGTTGTACTTCAAAATCCTATCGTCTGTTGAGGCCTTTAGCAACCACTGACTTTCAAGAACAATAAATGATTTAGATAGTAACATGACACTTATTTAGCAACAATAAAATATGCAAAGCAGTCAGACAGGGCCATAGCAACCATTCACTTTTTTTATAGCAGACATCGACTTCTATAGCAACCATTGACTTTCCATTACAGCCTGTGAAGGTCATATG